TTTCCTAGGAGCTTTCTGCAGGGGCTAAAGTGAATGCTACTGTGAACTTCATCTAGTTTTAAGATGTTTTCTTCAAAACAAGTCTACCAAAAGTAACTTTGTTCTCATGTTTTTATCTTTTAAATTGTGACTGACATGCTTGATTTATTTGAAGTCTCTTTCTTTCTTTCTTTCTTTCTTTCTTTCTTTCTTTCTTTCTTTCTTTCTTTCTCTGTTTACTACAGCAGTGCCTTGTCATTCCTGGTTTTGAGTTACAAGAAGTTGTATGTCTTAAATATCAGTTGCTCTGCCTATTCCTTGTCTCTAGATCTTCATATCTTGTTTTTAGACTTCTTCATTAAGTGCCAAGCCAAGATAATTCATTATTTGAGCAAGAAAGCACATGTCCCTCTGCCCACCTATAATACTCATTGTTCCCTATAAGGCAAAATATCTTATAATAGGTTCTCCTCAACCTTGATTTTTTTTTAAAAAAAAAGTAATATTAAAAAACTACTATTTCAAGAAGTCCCAACAATCTCCCAATGAAAGTTACTTTCCTCTGCTAAGTGGTAGGCCCACCATGTTCCTGATTTGTCCACCTTGTTTTTAAATACTTATCTATGCTTTATAAATTGAATCAATGTCAAAATAAAACGAAAAATGTTCATGATTGTCTGTTTTTTAAAAACAATTGATAGTTACTGCGGAAGTTAGGGCCAGATGAACCATTGAGGGGAGTTTATCCTTTTTTTTAAATAAAAGTTTTTATTGAGTTTTATGAGGTGAGTTTATCCTGACAGGGCTCAAGGTTGACTCAGCCTTCCCTCCTTCCAAGGTCGATAAAATGAGGACCCAGATTTTTTTTGGGGGGGGGGGAAATAGGCTGACTCTGTAAACTGCTTAGAGAAGGCTATAAGACACTGTGAAGCGGTATATAAGTCTAAGTGCTATTGTTATTTATAGGACTTCTATAAAAAAAAAAACATCCTTAGTGGACGGGACTCAGGTGCTGCACCTGGTGCCCGAAAGCAATCCTAGATCTCGCCCTATTTCTTTTTCAAATTCACATTACAGCAGAAAATGATTTCACCAGGTGAGTCTGCATATTCCCTTGCTAAAAATGTGCACTAGTGTATTCCCAGCGGCTTTTCAATAAAGAATTATTTTCAGAGCCCAGACAGCGCTACTATAATGTACTGATTTGGAAAATGGCACTTCATTCATTGAAAATCTGCCTTTCGTGCCAATGGCAATTTGTAGCCTTAGTATAAAAAATGCATGTTGGGAAGCAATATAACACAGCTGCATGCTGTTGTCATAGGCAAATGAAAACAACAGCCTTCTGCAAAGGAAGGGCATGTTATATGTTGAGTGGAGTCTTATAGGAAACATTTGCAAGCTTCACCCACATGAACACCCAAAGGCCCACGTCTCCAACCTCTTTCAGGTCACACTGGCACTATAGTTATCAAATTGATAAGGTTCCTCTGTTCAGCTTTATTACATCTGACATGAGCCTATGACACTTTATAAAAAGAAGTAATCCAGAACAATCTCAAGGTAATTAACACCTAGATAAACAAACATAAATTTCTATATTGCATTTATTTGGACTACCACTCAAATATGCGTGAACCATGCTTTTTTAATTAAAAGATAAATCTACGTGACACTTAGCCTCAAACTTAATTATTCAGCATAGTATAATAAAAAATACCGCCCATTAAATGTGTCTTGCTCTGTATTTCTGTATTAACAGCAAAACAGTTCACTCTGGGATCATTTAAATTTTCTTCCCTCTTCTTTTCCTGCGATTTCCCTATTCACTGAAGCTCTCTTTCTCTTTCCCTCCCCCCCTTTCTTTTTGAATATGACTTTAGCAACACCAACAGGTGAAGAGCTGTAGATTCCTTTGGCTGTTGCAGTTTTCTTAATCTCACTCGGCTTTTTCTCCTTTAAATGTTAGCTCGCCGCTGTAGTTTTACTGTCCCTGCTGCATCTACCAATGTTCTTCCTTCTCAAGCAAGACTTTCATGGTTTCTGCCCCACAAGGACATCCAGAGAAAAGAACCTCACAGTTAAGCATAATTTTGGTGGAACTGTCTTTACAACCCCAAAACAAATTGTTATGCCCTCATACTGGAGGATTATAGTAGAGATGTTAAACAAAAAGGAGAAGTTTGCTTCCTAACAGGATGAGCTGAGTGAGGGATTGTAGGCCTTGTACATGTTTCAGCAAGAAACATTAAGTTGTTTAGGAATTAGATGGAGAATGTCTTGTCAAGATGTTCGCCATCTGCACAGCAAAGATGCCAATGTAGCTGAAATCCCTTCCTTCCTTCCTTCCTTCCTTCCTTCCTTCCTTCCTTCCTTCCTTCCTTCCTTCCTTCCTTCCTTCCTTCCTTCTCCTTCTTTCCCCTTTGTTCCCTCCCTTCCTTCCTTCTCACCATCCCTCCTTCCCTTTCTCCCTCCTTTCCCCTTTCTTCCCTCCCTCCCTCCCTCCCTCCTTTCTTCTCTCCCTCCTCCCTCCCTCCCTTCTTCCTTCCTTCCCTCCCTCCCTTTCCTCTTCCTTCCTTCCTTTTTTATTTTGTTTCTTTCTCAATATTTTGCTGTCTAAAAATATAAATAAATAACTTTCAGAGTCCTTATTTTTGAATGGAAGACCTCATTGATCAAGCACTTGTAAAAGTCAAATTCTCCCCCCCCCCTCCATCCATCCATCCATCCATCCATCCATCCATCCATCTGGAACAGAACACTATCTATCTATCTATCTATCTATCTATCTATCTATCTATCTATCTATCTATCTATCTATCTATCTATCTATCTATCTCTCACACACACATATATCTGGGTCCCCTGTGATCCATATGGAACCTTCCTAGGAAGATTGCACACAGCAGTTCTGAATGATCTGCCCTCATTTCCAGAATAGCACTTGGATCCAAGTGAGGTCTTCTTCTCCAAATAAATCCAGTGCTGTGTGGAGAAATGAAAGGCCCACCTTTTCAGTTTGAGATCTCATCTAAAATCTTATATACTTCCCAACCATATCCTGTGCTTGAATAATTGCTTGATGTGAGAAAGAGGCAAGGTTCTGTGATAGCAATTTCACACATTCAGGTTATCAATGTGATAATAGCAATTATCACATTGAAGATCAAAGCTCGCCAAAGATAATTAGTCAGGAAAGGCACTGAAACACCCTAGACATCATTTAACCTAGCAAAATTGTGGTATGCCACATGCACAATGGAAACCAAAAGTCATCCATGTATGGTCAGATTACTACAGGTAGTCCTTGACTTACAACAGTTCGCTTAATGATCATTAAAACTTACAACCGCACTGAAAAAGGTGACTTTATGACCATTTTTCACACTTATGACCATTGCAGCATCCCCATGGTCATGTGATTTACATTCAGATGCTTGACAAGTGACTCATATTTATCATAAAACATGATACTGGGATTGTTTTCCTTCTGTAGCATCCATGGGGGCGGGGTTCATGCTGGTTTTGGCTCCACCCCTTTTTATATGTTTGCAGTGTGGCATATTCACCCCCCCCGAAGAGCTTGTGACAGTGCTTTTATCCTTCCACTAAAAGCTTCCAGCTTCTGTAGATATCGCCAATTTGCTCATCAACTCTGGCATCCTTTTCAATTCCTTTAGAGCAGACATGTCAAACCTGCGATATCACGTGACATCACACAATGTATCAGGACGGTTTTGCCATTGCCAGCAATAGGGTGGGCACGGCTTCCGGATGACGCGTCCGTCCCATGGGCCGGCAGTTTGACACCCCCGCTTTAGAGTGTGTTTATTTATTTCCTAAAATACTTAACAATGCTATCCTAGGCTGCATGAAATCATTGATTTCAATGAGATTTTCTTCCTCAAAGGTGTTAAGATTGTAGGCTGGTTGGGTAGTACCTAGGTCAGAAACACTTTAGCGTCTTTGTTTATATCTGAGTACAGGTTACAACTTACAACCACAGCATTTGAGTCCAAAATTTCGGTTCTGCTTAGCAAGTCATTTCTTAAGTGAGCTTGGCCCCATTTTATGACTCTCCTTGCCATGATTGTTAAGTGAATAACTGCAGTTACTAACATGGTTATTAAGTGAATCTGGCTTCCCCATTGACTTTGATTGTCCGGAGTTGCAAAAGAGGATCACATGACTTTGGAACAATGTTATCAAGCATCTGAATTTTGATCAGATGACCGTGAGGATGCTGCAACAGTCGTAAGTGTAAAAAAACAGTCGTAAGTCATTTTTTTCAGTGCCGTTGTAAACTTTGAACAGTCACTAAATGGATGGTTGTAAGTCGAGAACTACCTGTACAAAAAAGCAGACTACGTATAGGAAAAATGAGGGGAAAAAATGAGCTGTCTCTAATATTTTACCACTTTCTGTTGCTGTAGGTTGCTTTACAATGGATGGGAGTTTAATTTACCTGCAACAGTATAACCGCCCCCTTATTTTCAAAAGCTAAATGTATCTTTTATATAAAATGGTCAGTGTCTTCCTTTTTTTCTGTAATGCAGCTACAGCATCATAAAAATTGTTACTGGGTGCTAAAATTTCAACAATCTTTTAATTCAGGTATAACGATTTGCCTGTATATAAAGAGACAGATTTAGATATTGTATAGATCTGTTCTGAAAAATAAGGAGTGACTTGACTGTTACCAACTTTTCCCCCCCAAAATGGTCAAAACAGCAGGGGGGAAAAAAACCCTTTGACTTTCTAATAAACATAAAGAAGTTTTTTTTAAAAAAAACCTTCACTTTATTTCCCCCGAGGCAGAAGTTTTATTGCGTAAAACACTGGATAAAACTGTACTGCTTCAAAGACATTTTTATTCTAACAGCAGAAAGAAAATAAAATAAAAACAGCCATTTTCTGGCAAGGAGAAACGACTTTTAATACTTCTATACCAGAATAAAGTTCTGTCAACTGATGTCTTATAATAATAAATAATGACCAAGAATAAACTTTAAATACAAAGGTTTTTTTTCCTAATTGTTACAAGCATAGCAACAAAACCCTCTACTCTATTGACCTCAGAATCTCTCCAAGATATATATATATATATATATCCTTTTGCTTAGGAATGTAGACAGTATTTTGACCAATATCACAGACTACAGAAGTTACAGGGAAAAAACTTGACATGTTTAGATATGAGAAGCATGAAGATATTCGGAAGCTGACAGTATTTCACGGCTCCTGTCACTCGTTTGTATTCCAAGTTACAAATGTTCCAGGGTGGGAAAAAAAATGGGTGGACATCAGAGGCAAAAAAACCATGAGGACAGTAGCACCAGACTAAGTGGATTCAACACACACACCACAAAGAACAGGGAGTTAAGTTTCCAGTGTCACAAACAGAATTATTGCCTGTCGTTATCTGAAAATGCTCAGAAACCATGAAAGGGGCTGCAAAAAAGTGCAAGAAAATGGAATGTGGGATACTTTCTTTTTTTTTTAATTCTCTCTTTTTGTTTTTCTCGCTAAGATACTGAAGGCAGCGTCGAGACACACACACACACACACACACACACACACACACACACAAAAGGAGCAAGCGACCGAAGCAGAGTCACCAAAACACGGTAGTGCAGTTTAAACTCTAAAGCTTGCTACAGTCAGAAAAAATCCTCCATTTACGTGGTGATCCTTTCCTTGGGATCGTAAGAAACAGTTGCATTCAGTCGATCAACTTGATTTAAGTAAGGCAGTGAGAACTAGACTAGGAAAGAGACAAATGAAAATTAAAACCAAAATGAGAGAGAGAAAAAGCTGTTTGCCCTTTACCACCAGAGCTACGCAAGGCGACCTCAGTTTATCTGAAGTTTCAGTAGGATGGGGGTTGGTTATATTTGATTTTATTTTTCTGACAACAATTTGCAAACGATAATCCTTATTAACCTGAGAACTTTCCTTTCTTTCTCTCCCCCCACCTTCATTTTCTCAGTCTCCGGACTGCTATGAATTTCATTTACATTTTTGCTGTTTGTAGGATGTCCTCTTTTTTTTTTTTTTTGTCATCTGCTGTAGGCAGAACTGAAATTTTTAAGGCTCTCGAGTTTTAATCTGTTGTGCTCCTAGCCTTCAATGATATATCATCTTTCTTTCTTTCTTTCTTTCTTTCTTTCTTTCTTTCTTTCTTTCTTTCTTTCTTTCTTTCTTTCTTTCTTTCTTTCCTGAATGATTTTGTTTTGAAGAGAAATTAATACTTATCTTTCATTGGGAACAACACCAATTGCACTGTTCACAAAGGAACTGCCTGAAAAGCTCCACAATTTTGTCATTCCAACCGAAGCCATGAAGAACTATAACTGTCTTGCTTCTTGCTTTTTTTTTTCTTTCCTTTTTTTCTTCCATTTAAGACTTAAATGTTAAAATTATACCCAAAGCTTCTTAGATGAGAAGCAACAGAATTCAATTTGGAGGGGCCAATTAGTAGAAAAAGCTAAAATCTGCAAAAATATATAGAACATACCTTTTTCTCTCCTTAGAAAAACAAGAAATATTTCTAACACTTCTCTTCCACACTTTTTTTTGTTCTGTTTTTTCTTTCCAGCCAAGACAAAATTCATAGTTCAGAATCAAAAGGTTGGAAAATCCTCTACTCCAATAAAAAAAAAAAACCTTTCTCAAAATACCAGGCTGCTTATTGACAAAAAAAAAAAAAAATCTCTCTGAAAACGAATTTGATGTGGGACTTCTTCATTCAAGTTTTCTGTGGAAGAACTAGAAGAACTTCCATCTTCTATGGAAGAAGATCTGTGCTGATCTTTCCTCCAGATAAGGCTAAATAGTTGCCCTAACTAGTATGTTCTTTAATAGGCACCCTCCATCACAACCTATTTTGTTACAAGGGAACAACACAACAAGGGGGGGAAAAAAATTCCCCCTCAATACTTCAGGTTGAGTTAGGAAAAAAAAATATCACACTCCAGCCCCAAAGAAAGTGTACAATAGATCAACAGCTTCTTATTGGTTGCAGATTTTCTTTTCCACTCTAAATTCCACTAATTTATCTGGGTGGTTGTCAGTGGGTGTGTCTGTAGGTCTGCCTGTGTGTGTGTGTGTGTGTATCTTTTGAAAATTAAAACGTAGAAGCACAATCCTTTTCAATATAGGTCAGGACTGACCGTGGCTTATGGACAATCTAGAATTTCTCCTGTAGTGCAGCCAAATTGATTTTCTCTGCAGTGACAGCTCCGGTCAGCCTGGCACCACTTCAGTCAACCCACATGTCTCATTATTATGCTAGGCAAATGACAGCGGTTGGTGTCATATTAAAAAGGTGTTTTCAGCATTGAAAACACAATCCCTCTTACACGCATACACATTCCCACCATCTTCAAGGCAACGGGAAATCGATATCCAATGGTATCCATTTTATTTATCCTGGTAAGAGCACTATTGCTGAAAAAAACAAACAAACTCATTTTCACATTGGAAAGGTCTTTCTTTCTTTCTTTCTTTCTTTCTTTCTTTCTTTCTTTCTTTCTTTCTTTCTTTCTTTCTTTCTTAAAAAAAAATCTTGCAATGTCCTCAACTTTGGGGGTGAGAGGATACACCCCTTTGAGTTAAGAGCCACCAACTTGTTTGGAAGTATTTGTTGCCAGCTATCAGTGGAGCAGCCATTTTCAAGGAATGGATCTCCCCCATCCCATTTTTTTCCCATACATACATACTTACACACACACACTGTAGGTGTGTATGTGTGTATGTTTGTGTGTGTGTGTTTGTATATGCTTCTGAGCATTTGCACAAATGGAAGGAAGAACTATCCCCAGAAAGCCATTTTAAGCACGCACTCTGAGATCCAAATGCGTATCATAAAATTGTAACATAATATTGCGATACGTAGTTTGAGTTGTTCGGTTGCATTATTTGTGAGACTTGCTGCCTTCCTCGGTTAACTCCACTGAGTTTCCGGATTTGACAATGGAAGTTTCTTCTAAAGTCCCAGAAGTCTCGGAGTCAACTCTGGAGCGCTTGAACCTGCGATCCGGATACTGGCTGTTGTCGAAAGGCATGCGATGGACACAGAGAACGTGAGTCTTCAAATTTCCCTTCTGAGAGGCACTGTAGGGGCAGTATCTGCACTGGAAAGGCCTGTGACCTATGCAATAGACAAAGATCAGATTAGTTTATGCTCACATCTTTTTACTTTTCTCTTAGTTTTTCATGCAGCTATGTTTGAGTTGATCATTGCTTGTTGACCACTGTCTACCTGTCCCCTCTTCACCCAGGTCTTCAGTTTCACATGCAGCTTTAATTGTTGTTGTGTCTGATTCTTCTGGAAGATGTATCTACTGATGGCTACCATTCTACGTGGACAATGGGGTATAGAGACCATAATGCTTTGTTGTTATTTAGTAGCTAAGTCATGTCCAACTCTTCACAACCCCGTGGACCACAGCACACCAGGCCATCCTATCCTCCACTGTCTTTCAGAGTTTGCCCAATTTCATGCTCATTGCACCAATGACACTATCTCACCATCTCATCCTCTACCATCCCCTTCTCCTTTGGGGTTTGGGTTCTCTGTGATAGGCAAAAGTATACATCCATATCATGGTTTAGGGACATTCTCACTTTCAGCTTTTGTAGCCATGTCTGATCCTTGCCCCTCCCTTCCTTGACACCTACTAATCAGGAAGGAAACGGGAAGATGTATCTACTGATTCTAGGTGGAAAATGGACCAGGACATCAGGGCTCCCTGTCTTCCATGGTCTCCCAGAGTTTGCCCAAATTCATGTTCATTGTGTTAATTGACACTTTCTCACCATTCCATCCTCCGCCATCCCCTTCTCCTTTTGCATTCAATCTTTCCCAACATCGGGGTCTTTTCCAATGAATCTTATCCACATGCAGCAATTAGTTTATTCTTACAAGAACCTTCAAGATGATTCTAACTGAGAAGTAATCCCAATATAGAGAGCAATAAAGCCAACCAATAACTACAATGCAACGTTCAAAAATGCAAACTGTAGGAAAATGAAGATCATAATACCATGGACACTTCCACACTAATTTTACAATGGGTTTGACTTGTGCTGAGCTTATCTGAAAGTGTTGTGAAGAAACACACAATTCCCTGGCGGGGGGTGGGGGGAAAGCTATGCCAGATGTACTACTAATAACATACTTAATCTTTGAGAACTATTGTAGAATTTCTCCTCTTCCTGAAAATCATTCCATAAAATGGTTTTGCCACCTCTAATTTCTTTGTCCCTGGATAGATAAAAATTGTCTATGTAGGAAGAAAGAGAGCAAAGCTCTAATGCACAGTGCAGTCCTTTTGTAAGTTTGCTTCTCGCGTAGACCACATTTTGTTTGAGATTATTCTGGGCCAGCCTAAAAATTCATGTATCTGGCTTGAGAGGTTATGTTTCAGCAATCACATTTCAATTTCAACTGTGCTGGGAAGCTGGTTGATGTGTTTTACCGGAACATTATAAGCTTTGTCTCTCAAATTAACTTAAACCGGGGCCATCTGAGGTCAAATGCACTTAGCTTACTTTAATTTGCTAAAATGAATGAATAAATAAATATGCCTGACCATCTACATAAAACGCCAAGGCTATTGGACAACTCGATCTATTTCCCACACATGAGGAAGAGTTATCTGCCTTTGTTCCTGCTTGGGCTCTCTGCACAGATGCACAGAAGCCTGTCCCTTTCAACTCTGTTACAGACAAGAAGAGTGAACCTCCTCACTTCTATGTTTATTTGATTCATATTCCATCTTTTCATTCAGGAGCCCAAGGTGATATGCACCACGATGTAAAAAAGATGCTGAGACTCTAGAAAGAGTACAGAGAAGAGCAACAAAGATGATTAGGGAACTGGAGGCTAAAACATATAAGGAACGGCTGCTTTGAATTGGGTATGTCTAGTTTAACGAAGAGAAGGATGAGGGGGGGGCATGATAGCAGTGTTCCAGTATCTCAGGGGCTGCCACAGAGAAGAGGGAATTAAGCTATTCTCCAAAGCACCTGAAGGCAGGACAAGAAGCAACGAATGGAAACTCATCAAGGAGAGAAGCAACTGAGAACTAAGGAGAAACTTCCTGACAGTGAGAACAATTAACCAGTGAAACAACCTGCCTCCAGAAGCGGTGAATGCTCCAACACTGGAAGTTTTTAAGAAGAGACTGGATAGCCATTTGTCTGAAATGGTATAGGGTTTCCTGCCTGAGTAGGGGGTTGGACTAGATGACCTCCAAGGTCCCTTCCAACTTTATCATCATCATCATCATCATCACCATTATTATTATTATTATTATTATTATTATTATTATTATTATTATAAGTTTAGCAAGCTGCAGATTAACATAACAAAATAAGAGAGGGAAGGGACCTTGAAGATCTTCTAGTCCAGCCCCCTGCTCCAGCAGGAGACCTTATAACATTTCAGACAAGTGACTCTCCAGTCTCTTCTTAAAAGCCTCCAGTGATGGAGCACCCACAACTTCTGAAGACAAGCCATTATAAAGTTATAAAGGTTATAAAGGTTCTTCCTATATGAAATTGTGCATGCATGGAATTTTCTTGAAAAAGGAAGAATTAGTGCCTTCCTTTTATGGACTGCAGGTTCCTCCCTATAACAGACAGAGAACAACTCCATGTTAAACTACGGCTTGCTAAGCTTATGCGACCATACAGCATGTTTTATTCTTTCCAAGGTGGTATCTCTTAGCTTAAGATAAGATGTTGTGTATTTCTGGTTCATGTCCATTTCACCTGCTTTTATTCGTATATTAATTCATTTTGCATATCAAATTGCAGTTTTCTCATCATTAAAACTGCGTATGGTTATAAAGGTTATACCGCGATCAACTGAAATGCCAAAATACTTTTTTGTAAAAAGCATTATGTGATTGTTTTTAATGGAACATCCATTTTAAACCTTAAACTACATGACTTAAAATACATATGATCCTAAAAATCCTACACTAAAATTACTTTTCACTTAAACTATGAGTTTCATTTAGGCATCATTCTTGAGCCAAGAAGTACCGTAAATGCTGGCGTATAAGACGACTTCCGCGAGCACTGAAATCGGCGCCAAAGACGGGTGTCGTCTTATACGCCGAGTCGTCTTATAAGCCGGAAATACTGGTAGTTTCCAGCGTATAAGATGACGTTCTAGAAATGCGGCCCAGCTATAAAGACGGGGGTCGTCTTATACGCCGGGTCGCCTAATACAGCGGCATATATGTTATATTGTAATATTTAGTAAAGAAAGTAAAGTTTCTTTTCAGGATCAAAACTGGAAAACTCATTAATATGCCCATCTCAGCTAGTAACATTATAGAAGTCTATTTCTTAGTTTTTGAGGTGGAGATTCACATTTCCTAAATGACAACATTTTCCAGCCAATGAAAAATGACTGTGATCCAATCATCCATTCACTTTGGAAGTGTAAATTAGGATACGCCCCATTCAGTGGAATGGATTGAGATTAACACTTAAACCCCTCCTAATCTGCTTCATTCAAATGAATATTATAAGTAAGATAAGATAGCTAAGATAACCTTTGCCATTTTTTCTGTGTATGCAAATGGCACACATTAAAATGAAATTTTGATGACCAAGTAAGAAAAAATATATAAATTATTTTCTCATTTGAACATCAAAGGTGCCTGAGAAAACTCAACTCAACCCAACCAACAAACTAGAGATAGCTAAAGCTCAGGAATCTTCATCAAAAACGGCTAATGGATAAACTGCTCTGTGGAACCTAAGGCTGAAGTTGCTTATTACCTGGTAGACCAATAGAATCTATAGGTCTACCAGGTAATCTATACATCTATAATGTGCTGAGGGATTTTCTGGAATCCCTGAAACACCTGACACCTATTGGCTGAACTGAAGTGATGCCAAGAGATGCTTGTGAGCATTCTATCTTTCTGAAGAAAGTTGTCAACAATAAAGCGTTTACCATAGTTAGAGTGTCAAAAAGAAAGAAATTCGGCTGAAAAAGTCCCACACAGGCAGACATTCGAGAGCCATGGAGTCCAGAGTCGATACAAAGCCTAATAGTCAGAGTTCCCTAAAAGTAGGGAGTCAAAAGCTGGGAAGCAGGAATAGAACTGGAAAAAGATCCTTCCTTTCTCTTTGATCTTGGAGTTCTCTCCCATCCTTCAAAGCTGTGACTGAACTTTAGTTTTTGTAACTCTGGGGGGGAGGGGGGCTGATCCAAATGACCTCATCCGATTTTGTGGTTATTTTGGAGATGTTTTCAGTCTTAGCATAAGGCTACAAATTAAAATAAACTTCTATATCTACCCTCATCCATAATGCATGACTTAGCAGCCTAATAAATAAGGTGCAAAATAAACTATGGATTAAACATTGTTTTACTTAACCCTCTTTTGGTGGCCTGCTCTAGAAAACAATCTTTGCTCTATTTTTCAGTATTCATTTCCAGCCTTCTAGATCTACCTAATTGATGCCACTGACTACCATCCTTTGAGCAGGCTTAATCAAGAGCAAACATCATTCTAGATTAGCTGTAATTCATTAAGCACTTACCCAGACATTTGGGTGGTGGCGATGGGGTCAGATAACTAACTTTATCATAACCCCAAATGCTTTCCTTTGCATCTCTACTTGGAATTAAGCCCCATATCTCCCCAAGAAACATCCTTAAGACTTCAGCATTGGCCTTTCCCATCCTCCCCTCCCACGTTACAAAGACATGCGAAGACAACTGTCTGCAAAAATGTATGGCAGTTGCTGCTGATTAATTCAACTGTCTTAAATGAGCAGGAAAAGCATTAACTCTCCACTCTGGGTTTTGTTTTTTTTTTCCTATCCCCAACTTTTGGGGGCCATCAGATTTCACATTGTGAAAAGTTAAGTACACAATAAGTTAATTTGTATTGTCACTGTGCTCTGCCACTGTGGTAAAGAGCATATCAATTTTTAATCCAGTATGAATAATATATAGTTATGTATACACAGTGAGGGTCAAAAAGTATAAGAGGGATAGAAGTGTGCTGCACAAGAAAAGGGGGGGAAATATTCCTGGAGATCTGTCTTACAGAAGATAACAACATCTACAATTGGCTGGTAACTAGGGGCCAAAGCAGAGTGCCCATTTCTCCTGGG